CGCAGATAAAATCAAAAGTTACGTTAGGTAGTTACTTAAATACTAATTTAATTATAGACAGAATAGAAAATACATCATCCAATAACAGGTTACTTACTATACTTTGCCTTGAGAATTAAAATCTGTACAGCAAATCTGTTTTCACCATTGCCGAGCAGTCTGCAAGGCTATAAGTGAAACTTAGGTTCTTCAATGAACCTTGTTACACCGTCAGGTTTACAAGTAATGCTTGATTAAAAATCAGATAAAGAGTTAAAGAGCTATGGAAAATTAATGTAACCATCCGAGCGGAAAGTACATAACTATTGTAGGGCTGTTATAAGAAGAGCTCGGACATTTGGGTATAACGTAAGTAATAATATGATTAATCGTGAATATCAAAAAACGTTGTTGCTGCGACAATAACAACTTGAACGTAAAAAAATATACATTAAATTACAGCACAAAAACAAAAATAAAAATGTACATAAGACAATGATCATATCGCACCCTTAGTAATATAAGGGCACAATCCAAAAAAAGTAGATTTTTGGGAAATTTGGGAATTGATAGGGACTTAAATTATAAATGGGATCAAACTTATATAGCTCCATATTTCTGTTATATTTTTTGTACTATATGGGTCTAACTTGAAAGTGTTTTTTTAACTTGCTTGAAACTTATGGAATTTATTTATATTATTTTATTGCTATTTATAATACATTTATCAAAGAACAAATCTGCCAAATTTCATATTTATAACTTAAATAATAAGCATGTTATTTGAAAAAATAGGTGTAATGTAGGAATCTAGAATCTATACGCGATTTCCCAAAAATCTACTTTTTTTGGATTGTGCCCTTATATTACTAAGGGTGCGATATACGCCGTTATACCGGGAAAAAAAAATATTTCACGAAATATCGACTTTGAAATAAATGCATTAAAAATGTCAACGACGAATATTTGTTATGGTCATCCTTCGTTAATTTGTAACAAATGATTCCACATTTTATGTTTTACCGAAAGAACAATGGCAAACTCCCATTTAAATTTTTATTGACGTAATTTGTATGCGTCTGTTTATGAAAAATATGTGACAATATACAGTTGAAATTCTTGAACAAATTTTGTTTCGGGTTTACTATTCAGAGAAATCTGGAATTAAAGATATTACTGCTTGAAGTTTTGGAGGTTATGTGTTACATAATTAAATAAAATGTATTCGGTGTATTTCAAAATAAACTACAGGGTTTATGTTGTGTCGAAAGTTCAGAGGAAATTATTTTTTATACTGTTATAGTCAAAAAGCATGACGTTAAGCCATAATAAAAAAACAAAACGAGTTATATATTACACACCACAGAGTATTGCTCTGGAAACTCGGACATAAGTTTTTTTTTGTGAAACGTGCCATCTATCCTTTATTTCAGAACTTTTTTGTCAGTTTCACCATTTTCTCGCGTGGTATTTTGCAGAAGGAATTATCAACTTTATTTTTTGTAATGAATTACTTAATCTCATATTACAAATGGGTCGATTCAGTACATTTGATATTACGTTAACTAACTTAATGTGGACCACTGAAATTCTTTTTTTGGCGGCTAGATGTCGCTTAACGTTAAGAAATTCAGAAACTGATAGTTGTAGATAGCAGTCCGGTTACATACTAATTAGTCATTAGAGTTTCTGTTAAATATGATTTTATTTCCAGACTTACCTGGATATATAATTTGAAATTATAATTTGAAAAACTTAATGAATTCAATTTATTCAAACTTGTAATTAAGACATTTGAAAACGTTAAGGAATTCTTTTAACTATGATTTTGGCATAGTTCTTTGAAAATGTTTGCATTTTATATAAGCCTCATTTGTCGCGTTATCCTAAATTAAGTGATTTTATTACTTATAAAAATCACAGAAAATCATTTTTAGAATTTAATCAATGACATTATTTTTTTCAGGAATTAATTCCCGAGCTTTTCTTCCTGCCGGAAATGCTGGTAAACAGCTCAGGATACCGGTTGGGCATCCCCGAGTCTCCTTCAGGTGACGTGATCTTGCCGCCGTGGGCGTCGTCTCCTGAGGAGTTCATACGGATCAACCGCATGGCTTTGGAGTCGGAATTCGTCAGTTGCCAGCTGCATCAATGGATCGATTTGATATTCGGCTACAAGCAGAGAGGTAATTATCGATTAAGTAAGTAAACGTGTTGAATTAATTTTAATACTCATTCCGGTTCATGTTACTTTAATTATGTTTTCCCCCAATAAAAGAGGTTCGGGATCACATTTTAATGTAACGGTTCACTAGTACATCAGTACAAAAGAAAAGATAGTTCTAGATTAGATCGTTACATTTATTTTGGTTCAACCCAGGGCCCGAAGCCGTCCGAGCCACGAACGTTTTCTACTACCTAACGTACGAGGGCGGCGTGCGACTGGATCAAATCACAGAGCCCGTGACGCGAGCCGCCATCGAGGATCAGATTCGCAGCTTCGGGCAGACGCCTGCGCAGTTGCTAAGCGAACCGCACCCGCCCCGCGCCTCGACTATGCACTTAGGTGACTAATAAGCGTAACAATATCTAATGAGCGGACGCGAAATTGGCGCCCAGCAAGGGGTTAACGTAATTGGCGCCCGACAAGGGACTAGCAAATGACAAAGGTGACCGTTTCTCGCAGCTCCGCTAATGTTCGCGGCCGCGCCCGACGACGTCTGCGTGCGACTCAAGCTGCCGTCGAACGCCGCCGTCGTGCACGTGTCGGCGAACACGTACCCGCAGCTGTCCATGCCGGCCGCCGTGACCGTAAGTGAGCAGGGCGAGGCGTCTCGGCCGTTGGTCATTGTTCTGTGCTAACGCGCCGCTGCTGCAGGTGAGCGCCGCGCGCGCCTTCGCGGCGCACCGCTGGCTGGGCGGCGGCTGCGCGCACGCCGCGGCGCGCCACGCGGCCGAGCACGCGCAGCCCCCGCCGCACCCCGTGCTCATGGACCCCGTGTGGGGTGAGTGCCGACCCGCCCTCCGACCCCCGCCCCGCCCTCCGCCCTCTAACGCCGCTTTGTTGCAGCGGCGGGCGGCGCGGGCGCTCTGTCGCGGCGCCAGCTGGGCGACAACTTCTCGCAGCGGGTGCGCGCGCGCAACAACTGCTTCGTCACCACCGTCGACTCGCGCTTCCTCATCGCGGCCGGCTTCTGGGACAACTCCTTCCGCGTCTTTTCCACCGAAACCGGTAAGTCTTCTTAATTGTTTCGCTTTCACTGATACAAAGATCGACACAAAAAAAACTATTTCGTCCGATTGGAATCCGACCGGCGCCTGTTGCCACAACGGGGCTCCTGAGTCAACAAATCTTGCGAATTTGTCTATATCCTTGTTGCAAATTTTTGTACTGGGTTTAAACGCCTTTTTTGCCGTCAGCGCCCAATAGGTTATAAGTTTGTAAACTCATAAGTGACGCCGATATAATAGTGTCATCTTGCGAACGTTCTTTGCAGACGGTTCAATTGACTTAGATTGTTTTTTAAATAACTATTTAAACCAAAGAACTAAATTATAAATTACTTTTAACAAAATATAAAAATGACCGTTATGAATTGCAGCGAAAATAGTACAAATAATCTTCGGCCACTACGGCGTGGTGACGTGCGTGTCACGCTCCGAATGCAACATCACGTCCGACTGCTACATCGCCTCGGGCTCCGAGGACTGCACCGTCCTCTTGTGGCACTGGTATTAATAAAGCTACGCATAGTTTTAACAATAAGGAAGAGATACTGTCCTCCAACCGGTATACCAGTATTAAAAACTAAAGAGATTCTGCTAACACATAACAATCACCAGTCAATGCGTGTTGTTTTATTTTTAACCGACTTCTGTATTTTTGTGTCCGAGTATGTCACGTGATTACTTCGGTGTTTTTGATGATTCTTTTTTGTTGGAAAGAGGATATCTCAGTATTGGTCCTATTTAAATTTGAAAAAAATATTCCACCTCAAGGGTGAACTCGGTTTTACGCACGTGCATGCATGCACGCGGTAATCGATTTGAGAAAACTTGGCAAATTGATATAATTGCACGAACTTTTAAAATCGTTATTTTTTTATGAAAAATGTTATAGTTGTTTGAATATATTTCTTTTGAAGAGGTGACGCATACGATCAATGCTTGCGTTGCATTCTGTTCTCAGAATCCCAGAAAGCTTTGGCGTTGGTCCTTTCGCAAATATTGTTAGAAGTGCCGATAATTACTGGTTTGGACTTTCGCATTTCGGGTCGAAGACGCTACCCACAGGCACAGGAGACTAGATGTTAGGCTAAGGCGGGTTGCAGGTCGGCGCGACACGGCGGCATCGTGGGCGAGGGCGAGGCGCCGGCGCCGCGCGTGTCGCTGACGGGGCACGACGCGCCCATCAACGGCGTGCTGGTCTCGGCCGAGCTGGGCCTAGTCATCTCCTCCTCCGTCAGTGAGTAGCCTGCGACTCCACACTTCACTGACTTTTTAAATTCTTTCGAGTAATTAGACCAATAATCAAAATTTTTTTAAAACTTAAAAAATGTTTATTTACGTTCACTTAAACCTAGTTTTCAGCAAGTTTGCTGGAGAACTCCGTTTAAGCAAAATAATTGCTTGTGCTAAGAGTCCTATGTGACAGGTAAGTTACGAGTACTTAAGTTACAGGTACTATATGGTTATACTCCAATAAAAACACTACGCCCACTTTATTTTTTGGTCATTTTCTATTGTTTTTAGCAAACGGCCATATTTACTAATATAGAATTTTGTGCGAAAGCAATAAAGACACAAAAACAAAATTCGAAAAAACAAAAGTAATTTCGTGAAAAAAAATAAAAATCAAAAAGCAAAAAAAAACAGAACAGGTCCAAAAATTAAGTCCGCGTTGTGTTCGATGATCGATTAAATATTAACGCCGCCCTCGTTCTTGCTCTCAGACGGGCCGGTCCTCATCCACACGACGTTCGGCGAGTTGCTGCGGGCCCTCCCCGCGGCGGAGGGCGTGTCCTCCCCGCAGCAGCTGGCGCTGTCGCGGGAGGGCGTCATCGTCGTGGCCTACGCCAGGGGCCACCTCGCCGCCTTCACCTTGAACGGGCGCCGACTCCGGCAGGAGACGCATAACGACAACTTCCATGTAAATTGCTGTGCTACTTTTAGCCGAGTTCAAAAAAAGGAAGGGGTTCTCATTTCGACTGTTTTTTTTTTTTGTACGCGATAACTTCTTGAACCAGTTTTAATGGTTCTTTTTTTGTTGGAAATCTCAGTAGTGGTCCCATTTAAGTTTGAGCAATATATTTTACGTCTGAGGGTGGCAAAATAGGGGATGAATGACTTTTGAGGTTGGTTTTTTAGTACTCTGTACTGAGATTATTAATATTTTATGATTGAATGCTGGCTAACTTGAAAAAAGGCCCGTTGCATGCAATACAATCGTATTATTTGCGTGCAAGTGAGATGGAAAACATTGCATGTCTCACGGGCGATACGGGAATTACGAACTTCGACTCTGACAGCCCCAGTGTTCGACATCGGGCTTCTAATAGTCTCGTATGTAATTCCTTATTGGTAAATGCCCTTAATACGCAATGTACTATTAATACACGTAGCGAACGACGGCCAAGACTCGTACGTAACTCCTTGTAGTTGACTCCAAAAAAGGCGATATCTTGTTATTGTGTTCCTCATTTAAAACTGGCCAAAGAAAGCAACCTTTGAGCCGGTGGTGGTCGTGGTCCGCAGTGCCTGGTGCTGTCCCGCTGCGGCGAGTACCTGGTGTGCGGCGGCGACCTGGGCGTGGTGGAGGTGTGGCGCGCCTTCACGCTGGCGCCCCTCTACGCCTTCCCGCCCGCCGGCGCGCCCGTCTGCAGCCTGGCCTTGTCGCACGACCAGAAGTCAGTTCCCTCCTGCTTCTACCTTTTCTCTTGACCCCGGCTTAATTTAGCAACATGACCCTGGACAAAAGTGCTTACCGGAACTACAAAGCTTGGGAACTTAATTCAAGATACCACAAATGAAAATAATTTGCGTTTTAGACTCGTTTTTAACCGACTTGAAAAAAAAGAGGAGGTTCTCTTGTATGTATGTTACGCGATAACTGTGAAAACATTTGTGAATCGATTTTGACGATTCTTTTTTGTTCGAAAGAGGGTACCTCAGTATTAGTTCCATTTAAATTCAAAGAAAATATTCCATCTCTAAAGTGAGTGATAGACGTACGAGGTTAATAATCGCGGTTTTAAAGTTTGCGTTCTTACTCAGCTCGACGTCGGCGACACACGACAGATTAGCTTACGATGTCGTCCACGGAGGAGGTCTTGTGTTATTTGGGAATAATATCATTTGAAACAAAATGGCGGCTCGTGACTCGCGACGCTGACAGACATGCGAGCCCAGGCGAGCTACGAGCAAGATTTCAAACATGTTTGATCGCTGATGGACTTGCACGGCAGTTTTAAAATTCGCGTACTTAGGGTGACACATGAGTGAAAAAGGTCGTCGAGCCACAAGTACGCGTATTTACTCGTACGTCTATCACCCACTTTAGAGTGACAAACTAGGGGATGAATCTGGTTTAGCGCACTCTCCGGTAACCGATTTCAATAAAACTTGACAAATAGATGTAATTCCACGAACGTTGTCGGTTTTTTTTAAGTTACAATTACAGTACAAAATAAAACGAGATACCTATAGAAAATACAAGAGCAAATTTAATGTGTCATAATCATGTAAGTCATTGGTCATAATACTTGCTATACCTACCCTTTGTCTTTGTCAAAAGTTACGTTCCACGCAAAGTCACGTTACGTTTGTTTACGTAGATTCCTGCTAGCGGGTCTGGAGAACGGCTCGCTGGTGGTGTTCCACATCGACTTCAACCGGTGGCACCACGAGTACCAGCAGCGCTACTGAGCGCCGCCTTGCTGCGCGCACCGCCACCGCCGCACGCACTGGCACTGAACACGTCTATGTTGTCTGCAGTTGGGAAACACTTCTTTTAAACACGTTCTTACGCTTCGATAAACACTATGTGAACATTTTCTTTCGCAAACGCCGCCATTTTAATGGCGGCGGACTTTTGTTTTTACAAAATGGCGGCAACTTTATAAAAGTTTACAGACGGCATAGATTTGTATGAAAATATTTGAATTTTACATCTTGTTAAATAATTAAACAAAGATGCTAATTGCGTAATTCTAGGGAAGTACTTATTATTAGTTTTTAAGAATAAACCATTTTACAGTTTTGACATTCCATTGTTTACGTATTAACTAATATATTGATGAAATTATGTTTGTATTATTTTGAATCGATTTATTTTATTAATTTAGTGCCATAGGATAGTTTAAATAAAGTGCTGTAAATCGAGACGTACTTAAATATTTACAATTCCTTAAAGTATTTCTACATACTTAGATCTCTACATGCAGCTGACGTCCATTTTATTTTAGTCTATTTATTTTCCAGTCATTATATGTATAGAACTTAGATTTGGATTTTCGTGCAATATTATTAATTACTATTTTATCTTATTTTTTTCCAACTTATCCTTTATGAATGTACTTAATTTTTTGTAAAACTTAAATTCCTTTTTTTAATTTTTTGCTATTTTCTGGTGGTGGTAAAATGTCGTACCTATTTTTATTTGAAATAATATAATTATAAACGTTGTTACAGAATGTTTTTGGTTTTTAATTAAAAGGTTGTATTGAATTTTAATTTTGTTTTGATTATTATTTCCTTTTCCTTTTTTTACGATAAAATGATCATTTAAAAATGTTCACGAGACCATTTAGTTGGGTATAAAATAAATGCGAAAGTGCCAATGTTTTAGCCATTTTCGCTAATTAAAATTAAACCAATGTCAATAAATGTAGCAAGAGTTTAGCTATTAATGTAAAATAAATGCTATTATTATGTTAGGTGTCTAATGTTGATACCAAATAGTTTTTTACGCATTGGAAAAACTCGTAAGTCCAAAATTCTTTCATATAAAAGTATCATGTGCAGAATTTTGTGCTTTAGAGAAAAATTCTACTTACAACCGCTATTGGTTTTGAAAAGTTGTAGCGATTGTACGTAAGTTCTTGACGTATTTTTGCATCACGACACCCGCACCTCTCCTTCCGTTCTGTGATTTAGGCTTAAACGCACCTATAAATAAAATAAAATCGTACAACCTCTTTTCCTATCTCTGTGCCAAATATAATGTAAAAAACAGGATATCGAGAGGCGTTCAGTGATTAAGAAATTATATAAAATCTATTAGACATCCTTTTCAAAATGTTTTGCATGTAAACACCCTTAAACTTCTAGAATTAGATAGAAATTTCTAGTAAATTCTATAGTAAAATGTTCCGTTCACTTAGTGTCTTCTAGAGATTTGTGTAAATTAACTCTTGATCCCTTATTCTCACGTCCCACTTTAGCTCTACGTAGAACCCAATGGTTATACTATTAGCTTGTACCCTTCTACTATAATAATGTAGATTAGTCGTCTTGCTTCTAATGTACAGGTCACTACACTAATGAAGAACATTCGTATTCTATTTCATCTGAATAAAATTGCATCAGTGACTGTACATCTTTATTTTAGCCTGGGTTTCCCGCTTCGCATACTCTTTCTGCTATGAAATTCGTTTAGCTTCTCATTTTCAAGATTTTCTTATGGCAATTAAATAGTGTTCTATTAGGGCATAACTAAGAACCAAGGTTTATTCACGGTATAGACTTGCTACCTTTAATGGAAAACAGTAAATGTATTTAATATACTCACTTAAAATTGGAAACCTATTTAAAAATCAAATGTAATAAGCACTATTTTCAAAGTCACTAAATCACGCAAAATTATTTTTTGATTACGCAAGTACACGCTACATGCAATTCTGTCCATTAATTAAGTATCTAATATAGACCGTGAATGTTGAACTAGATTTAATTATAATAATAATAATTTATTTTGCTAGTCGTAAGATACACCTCGTGTATTATAATAATCACTGTCCACGTAATTGTAAGCAAAATTCAATTTGTAAGCGTTTTAAATATTATTCTTAAATAAAACCTAATTAATGACTGTACACTGTTCTTATCACGCCACAAACGCACTCGCACTATAGTAAATTAAAATGCTACAGCTGATTAAAATATTGAATAGTGGGCGCTTTAGTGCAACAATTAATTTCACACACGGTACTGCCTTCGCCACGTAATCCCTTGCCTTGTTTAGACTACACACATAATTCAAATTAATACCTTAAAAATTGTTGAACGTATAGTTAATATGATAGTTAAAATAAAACCTAGAATAGTGGGTAGCCAAGTAGCGGTATTAGACATAGTATGATGGCGAGTCGTTGCGTTCTTTAACTTATTGTTATAAGGCACTCTCAACGTTGTGGTGCCTTCTAACAAATTAATATCTCGTATGTATCATTACATAAAAATATTTACTTTCATTTAGATTACACATTTTAATGTTGATTGTTACATGTTGCAAAATAAGTTCCGTGAATGTCAGTGCACTTTGTGACAGCTTGAATTGTTAATAATTTAATTATTTAGCGTACTTAAATTACTTAATTAGTTTGTTAAATCGTCAAAGTTATTGCACATTGTTATCCGTAGTAAATGTGTGACATTCTAAATATGTAATGTAACGTTTTAGCACATGCTTCTTTAAATTATAACACTTAGAAATTTTATAAATTTAATGTGACTTCTGTATTTGTAAATTCTTTACTTTGCCATTTAGGTATTGTATTCAGTTTGCTTAAAATCGATATTTTCATTATTTCTATGTGAGACGTTGTGTCCATGATGATATTATAATTATTGTTATGCTAAGTATATGGTGCGTTTGTATGTAATAAAAAGATCTTGAGTAATAAATAAATTGCATTGAAATAATGTAGTTTTTCGTTGTGCGTACCAATAAAAACTACAAACATTGTTCTGTTGGGTTATTTCAGAAAATATACAAATAGTGTTTTTTTTTTTCTGAACAATTGGAAAAACATAATTCGAAATGTCACACTCAGACGACGCGATGGTACATACAATATTTGATAAAAAAATTACAAATATTACAATTTGGACTACTAACTCGTTTACACAGTCTTCCACAGCCGCTGAATCCTACTAAATCTAATCTTCTAAAAACAAACTAATATTAAAGTTATATTCACTCGCACTACACTTAAGTACGTCTAAAGCCAATGATAACTCACGCCATTCAAATTAAATACATTGATAAGACACTCTTAACACATTGTATTCAGAGTGTCTTTAGTAGTAGTCTTTCTAATTTATTATTTCATCACGTACCATTTATACATACTACCTACTCCTAAGAGACATTCTGTAAGACTTTAAATCGGTAGAATAAAACGTACTGCTAATCTCGATGGTCTCTAAATCAAAGCAATTGTTTTGCAGTTAATAAAACTAATAAATAATTATGATAATGTACCAGACAATCACACCAATCGCCTTGTCTCAAACTAGAGAATTTCCTGTACTATGAGTACCTACTTACAAAACCGTTACTTTTGCACTCCATACACTCCAGGGCACTTCTCAGAACACCTAAGGCAGAATCAATTTAGAAAAGTTCATTTCCCAAATTGGTCCTACCGGGAATCGAGCCAGGACCTCCTCGTCCAGCGTCCACAGAGCAAACTGCTGAGCCACTGAGGTCGTCATTTATTTATTTCAACCCTTTAAAAACAAAACAAAATTTTTCGTCCTTTTAAATCCTATTTATTCTAACCTTTAAAAGCAAAGCAAAATTTTTCCTCTTTTAAAATCTGGTAGTAATTCAGAACTAGGTAACTTTCCACTGTTCCAATCAAAGGTGAGGAATCCAAAGACATTATAATCTGGAGAGGAGTGCGACAGGGTTGCATTTTATCACCTACACTTTTTAATATTTACGTAGGTACTCTGAGACGATGACGGAAACCCTGACTGTAATAGATTAATGGACATCTAAGGTAGTAAAAACGACATCAATAACTTTACTTCATCCAGAATCAAGAAAATGGGCCCACATACTTCCTATAATACAAAACCTTTGCTCCAAAATTCTGTTACTAAACATTGCAAAATGTTTTTTTTTTTAACCAATTTAACTTTATAATTATTAATGCAAAGATCGAACACTAAGAAAAAATTCCTTCAATCCGTCTTTCAAGAAATCGTGCTAGACGCCAGATGGACTTTTTTTCTTACTGTTCGGTCTTTGTATTATTAATAATTATAACAAATTAGTGAAGTAATTTTGCTAAAAATAATTGAATCTCATAGTGGTGAAACATCCTGACATTTAATAAACTTAATTACAGTTTAGCTTTACTTTCACATATATTACTCATAACATAACATAATACAGTTTGATCTTTTATCAAAACTTTTAGTAGGTACCTATCTATAGAGGAAAATATCAGAAAAAAATTTGAATTTTTTTCTTTACCTAACACTCTAGTCAAGTCAAACAATTTTTTTTACGCGAGTCCAGAATATAATAAGTAGCGTTGAATTCAATATAATATTATTTTTTACCCGCCTTTATGGCGATGATGAAACGAACAACTTATGAACGCATGTTCAAATAGCGCAGGTGAATCTTTTAACCATACGTTTTTAGTAAATTTTTTGTAAATGCAAAATTCAGTTTTTTATTTGATCGAATTTAAATACAAAAATTTAAAATATTAATCGTTTTTAGTCAATATACTTTACGTCTATTTTTCACTATTCTATCTTGAAATAATTTTGAGGTTAGTTTTTGAATATACACACTTTGACATTGACGTTTGCATAGTCTGTTTCCGGCCTTTTCTCAGCTCCCGTTGCAATCATGGCGATGAACAATATTTCTAAAAAGCGAAAAGTACGTTTAATATGTGAAATAATAGTAAAAATATGTGTACATTATTAATCCGTCAACAGTTCTGAACATTCCCATATCTAGAATTGTATTATTATATCAGTGAAAGTGGTGATGTTGATGGATAACAATTAAGATTATCTCAAAATTAATGTTTATTTTACTTTTCAGTAGTCTTAACGTAGAACGATTAACATATTAGTCGAAAGTTTAGTATCAAAACGCGTTGGTAGACTATAAAGTGCGACAGTGAGTGTAAAGTCAAAACATAACCTCTGTCACTTTTCAGTTCGTCGGTGACGGAGTTTTCAAGGCAGAACTCAATGAGTTTTTGACCAGAGAGTTGGCTGAGGATGGGTACTCTGGCGTGGAAGTGCGTGTCACGCCGACGCGGTCGGACATCATCATCATGGCCACTAGGACCCAGAGCGTGTTGGGAGAGAAGGGCCGCAGAATTCGAGAACTAACCTCTGTCGTGCGAAAGAGGTTCAATATCCCAGAGCAAGCTGTGGAACTGTACGCTGAAAAGGTCGCTACCCGCGGTCTTTGCGCCATCGCACAGGCTGAATCATTGAGATACAAACTCATTGGGGGTTAGTTTTGTCTTGATGTCCATATACTCTATTGTAATGCATTTTTATTGCATGTAGTTAGTATTTTGCCAAATATGCACCAAAATTTACATACTATTTTGTTAAGTTTAAAGGAAATAAATAACATTTAATTATTATTTTATGAGAATAAAACTTAAAAATTCATACTTATCTCTGTAAAATTAATGAATAAACTACAAGCAATTGACCACCAATAAATTGTAGATCTCAACGAAGCTGGCTTGTAGTCTGGTGATTGTAGTGTTTATGTGTAGGGGTAAATCAGTTTGACACCTACCTCATAAATTAGCTTTTTTTTTAATGTATATTATGGGTTCCATCTTCAAAAGCAAAGGAAACAAAATTGTTGTCTTTGTTGTTCATGCTTAAAAGTAAAAACGATGTGTTTTCTATAATATTCATAAAAAAGGACACTAAAAAATAAAAGATACTATTTTGTGTTTTACAACAATTTACATTTTACCTGTATGTTCGTGCTACTTTAATGCTTCAAAATGCAAGTTATATCTCTCACGTTTTATTGAACCAAAACCACTAAGTTGTTCATTCTAAAACTAGTGCCTGTGTCATAAATAAATGCTCAATGTCTCTGTGTGAATGTTGCACAGAGGGCACATATAAATCCACAAGCATGAAATTAGCATTAATTTGAATAATTTTTCAACTTCAAATATTAAACATTTTCAGGTCTAGCTGTACGTCGTGCATGCTATGGTGTTCTCCGATTCATCATGGAGTCTGGAGCCCGTGGTTGTGAAGTAGTGGTCTCTGGCAAGCTCCGTGGCCAGCGTGCTAAGTCTATGAAGTTTGTTGATGGCCTCATGATCCACTCTGGAGACCCATGCAATGACTATGTCAACACAGCTACTAGGCATGTACTGCTTAGGCAGGGAGTGCTTGGAATTAAGGTGAGTCTTATTTTCATGTAAAATTTATATGTAGAATGTGAACAGTCAAACAATCTGAGAAGGTGGCCAACAGTGTATGCATATAAGTTGATATGAAATTGTGAATTTTCTCTCTTGTTTTTCTCTAATGTTTGAAGAGAATGTTGTATCCACGTAGTTTACCTTTAACTAAATCAAGTCATCTGATGGGCTAATAGACAAGCAATAATAGGAACATTTCCATATTTCAAAACTAATTGAGGCACGACTTATAAAAGAAACCTGGCCGCCAACCTATTGTGACTGCTCAATTCTAATATCATCTCTATGTAAATTATATCCAAGCCACAATATCAGGGGTGTCAGGCTGCATCAGGCCTGTTACCTAATTATTGTGGCAGAGCGACCAGCGTGTTTTATTGGAGGGACTGTCTGTACAGTGTCTTGTCGGTGCATGCTGGACAGTTGCATTTATAATAATTTGAGTCAGATTTATCCTCAAAACAACTGAATGACTAAAATCACAAAAAGTATTTTAGAAATTTAAATTACTTTATCCATTGATAAAATAACCCATTAAATGCCATTTGCAGGTGAAAATCATGCTTCCATGGGACCAACAGGGCAAGAATGGTCCAAAGAAGCCCCAGCCCGATCACATTCTGGTGACCGAGCCCAAGGATGAGCCTGTACCGTTGGAGCCGACGAGTGACGTGCGTACGCTGCCACCCGCGCCGCTGCCGCCGCCCGTGGCTGCTGTCGCTTAATTTTTAAGCTTGCAATAAAAAAAATTAAAAAAACCACTTCTTTATTTTTTATTTTGGAACATTTGCCGACAAGTTAAATTTGGGTCCTATTTCTTCTATTAGCAATACAAACACTGATGTCCAATGTATATAGCAGCTGCACAATTTAAGGATCCAAAACTAACTTGTTAGGCATGCCACAAACAACCTTTATGCCTTGAATCAAAAATTATAAATATGATAAAAAACCTCCCCATAGGGGCCTATTTCTTCATTTTACTTGCGAAAAGGCATAATATTTATTTTCCTTCCCAAATTCAAAATTATATTTAGTTTATAGATTATTTTTAATTGATAGCAAATTACAGTCTTAGACAAATTTGCGAACACAGACATATATGTCTGTTTGCGAATAAAAGTTGCGATTTACAAATAGGTTATTTTGTTCACATCTAGACAACCTGCAAGAGCTAAATAAGTCACGTCAGAAGTACGCAGAAGCTGAATAATTAACGTTTAGTATAAAATTTTTGTAATCTTGAATATCAACTTGAATCCTATAGAAAAAAACTTGAACATACGTTACCTCAAATTAATTTTGAAAACGACTGCCAAGAACAGTAGATTTATTTCTGTTCATTCAAAATAAACTGAATGTATAGATATATGAAAAAAATACTATTACATTTTGATAAATATCTTGATCAACAGTAAAATAACACGTTTGTAAGGCCTTTTTAACGTTACCGGCAAAGATGCAGCGGCAGGAATTATGGACGTTGTGGTTGTGGAGGGAGAATGCCATCCGTGTGTGGTGGGGAGTCCGCAAGCACCTTAGGATATGGAACAAGTAAGCACGCACGATCCCGAAATCTGCTATGCAACGAATAGGCCCGTCTGTGTATTATACCCTCTGAGAATGATCATTCATATGCAGAAGCCAAACGTCCATGTTAATTACATAATCTGCCACTAGATGTCACTGTACACTTTTACATGACAAACTTATAATTTGCGGTTGTTTAAAATACTGATTGATTTAGAAAATCCCTTTGATTTTATTTATTAGATGAATATCACGAATGCTTTTTTCTCATTAGGAATATTTTTCTATAGATATATTTTGCAGCTAACAATTGTACGAAATATGTATAATTTCACTATAAATATATTCGTCTAAACTTTTGTCGGACGTAAATAAATTTGTCAGAATCCTGAATCGCGATGTTAAGATTTTCCCTCGAGCAATGACTACCCCAGAACATTTTCGTACCGGTATCGCTTCTCGGCCTTTTGGCTAAGATCAAAGTGTAGTATCTGTTCTTTTCAGCTTAATATCTGAAAGTTCCCTCATTGAGGGACCAGTATATTAAACTGATTTTTGTGACCAGACGGGATGTTCGGGGCTCGCTCCACTCCCGTCACGGGTCGGCCCGGCATTGCAGTGCCGCCGGGATCGGCCCACATAAAATTCCAAATCCGAGATTTGACGGTCCAAGATGTCACAGGGGGATCATTTTATCTCTAGGTGCACAAGCGACATTCGAAGTGGGTCAGTTTTCTAGATTTCTATAGTATAGTATATATGCAATGCGCAAGCGTGTAACCACCTCTAGTAACTAAGCTACATATAAAGACCTACAAAATTACCCTTTAGGACTGTTGGGACTCACTGCTTGGTTCCAGTAGGATGTTCAAGTACACCTTTCCCCACTTATAAGGTGGAACCAACGATCTTAGTCTTAACGAGTAAATATTTGGGCTCGTGGCCCCTTAACACGTTTGACCTTTTAACAAAACCTATTTAAAAATCAATTACAAATTACTGTCTTTCCGTCCATCCGTATTATAACTAAAGTAGGCGGATGTTATCTTTTTGGAATTTACGGAGGCCAGTACAATATAAGAATTAGAACCTATATAGACTTTAAAGATTTATAGGTAGATAGGTGCAAAATAAAATAAATATGTAATTTTGACATTTTTATTTAAAAACCTGACTACATACACCCCAAACCAAGTGCATTATTATTAACATTTAAATACAAAAAGTGTTCATCGGGTGCTTCGTTGTAAAAAAAACAACATTCACAATATACAATTTTGCCATGATTAGTACATACAAATAATGGTTGGTGTCTAACAGTTTTCTGAAAACTACAGCAGCTCGCTTTATTTTCACTTTCCCTTACTCCTGGGGAATATCACAAGGGATGGTCCTACATACTATTAGTTCGTACTTATACCATCACGCTTGGCTGCCACTGGGGTATGTAAACACTAAGGACCTCCACCCACTGTTAGTTCAATAATACAAAAATGTGATAAGGCGCTAAAATTGAGCAACTGCTAGACAATAAATTCATTTTACAATGGAATGTACACAACACACAAAATTGTGACCTAAAAATGCCTCCAACGGGGTAAGTATTTCGTAAAACGAAGATAGTATTTCTATCTAAAACAGTAAGTATTTATTTATGCATGACCTGAGACCGGAGAAAAAAAATAATACTACACAAGTAAAATTATATTTTTTTTGCTTATATTTTGGCAACTTTTCTCTAGTCTCGATATATTAATTACTTAGGTAAGTATAACTATTAGCTTACCAGTCTATACAAACTCAATTTATACAGAAGTTAATGGGGAATGTTAAGTAGCTTAAGGTTATATTTTGAATGTAAGTTAACCCAATTGTTATATCTCATATTTTGTTCGTGATGCTTTGAACCGTTTCACACTGGATACGCTATACAGCTGTCAATAACCTTTTTCGGCATCGTTGTCACATCTAAATATATTTTAAAACAATCCACAACTGGAACATGTCGGTGCATTGCCATGATCAATAATACACATTGTACACCGATTTCTACAGAGTCACAAGTCAAAAATAAATATTTTTAGATTTATTGTACGCAGTCTTCCCTGCTATTCGGTTACAAAATTGTGGCAACATTCTGATGTTGATTACTACGACTGAAGTAATGTCACTGATCGACTTATTTGGTGGTTCAGATCAGAAAAAGCTTTTTTTCTTCAATTAGACATTGACGTCGTTCGACATAATTTTTTATATTATTTTACAAAACTACCGTACATAGTCATTGTGCACACTGACATTGTCAGAATAATCGTGTAAATAGATGGAACCATTATAAAGAAATTAGAATTAAAATAGCCGTCACGTTTTTCCTTGTCACGTCTGCCATTTTTATCTTGTGTTAGTGCTGAAACCGGTGTGCGAAAGTGTTCGTTTTAATAGAACTTCAGTATAAATTGTGCCCTAAACCTCGCTTAACATAAATTGGACCAAAATTGTTCACTTCCATTCTTAAATATGAAACTTAAAAGTGTACCTAACCCATAACAACGCTAGCGATAAACTGAATACCTTACAGTACGTGTTCGACACAGAGATTGATTTGTGAAAAAGACGCTTTCTTAAAAATCCATTACCGCATTCATTCAATATACATATATTGGCTGACAAATATGCAACAATACATTTTTTAAAAACTAAAAAAACGTACGACAAATTAATTGCTGTTTTCTATTACAAATTGAGGTCTTTTGAGAAAGTCTCAATATCCATTTCCGTTACATTAAAACCTACTTGTACTCGTGTCATTTATTTAGCCTAGATTGTATTTAAAAAAAAAAACTTGCCGGCAGTGCTTCGCTAAACTTTTTTTTATGACACCATGTGAGGGGACAAACAAGTCGTGTGTCTGATGGAAAGCGACACGCCTGTCTACAGCACTTGCAATGCCACTCAGAACTTTAAATTGCAAAAATTTAAGGGGCACTGCCACCGCGCCCGTCACCCTGAGACAAGTTGACAAGTCCCATGTGCCTGTAATTTCACCTGCACCCTCACCCTTTCAAACCTAAAATAGGTCAGGTGGGAGTAGTAATCTGGACGAACTTTTTAAATTTATTTAATCAGACAATATACTGTATAATGAACGGGCCTTTAAAAAATCTAATTTTGCCTTCATGAGTGACTCTTAGGTTATACTCCTATATATTTGATATCTATTTGATAGTGATAAAGTACGTAAAAAACTGCGCGATTTTAAAATGTTCAAAATCACTAAATATTTTTATTACGCACTTAAGTTTAAAAAATGTAGAAATGCACTTTGTACTTGCACTCATATGCACCGGGGACAGTTCATAGAAAAAAACGATGGCAACTTGGCAATCGTATTACGAACAAATTATGATGCATTTTAGTGTTAAATACTGACATTTTTAGTGGATATACTTGTTATACAACTATAGTTTAAAATAGAAGTAAGAATTAGAACAGTGTAGCTGCCAAAATTCGATACTGTACATTGAACCTTACATTGTTTACTCATTTGGTGGTGTTCGGAAAATTTAAGCTAATCCGAGAGTATTTAACAAACAGTTTTCAAATTGCAATGTAATTGTAATTTAGCCCTTAAAAAAAAATACGCTAAAAACCAAAACAACCTTTTTAAAATACATGGTAGAGCAACACGTTTTGTTACATAGTACGACTGCCGCGGCGTCAGTCGAAAGGTGGAACATGTAGAGCCTCCAGGCTCGCAGGTGTCCAGGTCCGTTCACAGCAGTTACCTGGAATTGGATAATTGGTATATTGTTAGATTCGTAGAGATGTGAACAATCAACAAAACAAAAAGTTGCTAATCGAAAATTTTAGTTTACATGCATACTAACACGTCGGTCTACTATTGGGGTGTATACAGAGTGAGAACAATCACTATAATGGATATACATTTTAAGTTGCATGATTTTTAATCTGGTGCTTAGTGTTTACAATAGCAATAATAAAAAAAACATTGGATTTAAATTTCCAGTGTGGATAAAGTGACTGTGGTTTGTATGAAAAAAAAAATGAATTACAATGGTAACGCCGCAAGAAATTGAGATGTAATAATTTCTGTTTTATGTTCTAACCCATTTTTTTTTTCTTGTTATAGGGATCATTATCATTTTGTCACATGGGATCCTAAGTGAGTTACTAAAAAAAATGTTTTTCCTTTTTTTTCTAGATGAGAGTAGTCGCCGAATGCTAAAGAATGTAGACAGGTATATCTTGTCGAAATGAAATTATTTTTGCGGATCTAACATCGCTTATATTTGGTTTTTCAAACAAACCAATTTTCGGGCTGTTCACAGATTCCATAGTAACGGTTCAAAATTGTTATGTCTGATATTAATGCAAACCACTCTATTTTGAACTACACTTACAAAAGTTACTAATTTCAATTACCAAATAATAAAAAATATTTATTTTTAATTTATCAAAGAACGGTCCAAATTCCGCTACGTACGTTTTGTAAAACATTTTAACGATATCACTTTTCTTTTTTTTCTACTACTAATTAAATTTAATTTAGTACCAATAGATACTGTTAGAATCAAACGTCGATTGTATTGAAACGTTCGCAAGACAGCAAAGTCGTTAACCGAAAACGTTGTTTCATATCCAAGGTGGCTGCCGTGAATTGATAAATGGTCGTCACGTCACCAATAAACGTCCATGACAGACAGTCGTGATATGGGACCAGCAGTTTGATTTTGATTGCCTTTCTCGGTCGGAAACCGAGTCTCTTCCGAGTCGAGGACATTTCAAATTGGAATAATAGTTGATTTAACTCACAAATTAGAAAGATATAGTAGGAATTAGGTATATCTTCTCGCTTGGAAACCCATCTGATTTCGAGACATAGATGGGCTACCCGATCGAGTCCGATTTGAATGAAAATCAGCATGCAGGCAAAACGCGACATCCGGTCAACGATTAATAAAACGTTAGGACATAGTGGGAAAAGGGCGCCCTTCCGGTTTTGAAGGGTAAAAGGTGCTGGTGAAGTTAGTTAGTGAAGGCACTTGTCAACTTATGTCTCAGGGTGGCATCACAAACTCAATTTTTTTTCCGAAATAACGTTTGTTCGAATTTTCATTACACCGAAAACCGAATTATAACGAAGCCGTTGTTCTTTGTTTATCGCAAAGGCACGATCAGGTTCGGTTAGAGTTAGGTTTAAAAGAAAAAACATTTTCCCCTCAAAATGACTTTCGAGGCTACGAAAATTCAAGCAAACGAGCACGCAGCTTCCTACATTAGGAAAGAGAAGGCGGCCTCACTCGTGCACGGTGTCCATGGGCGGCGCCATGCGGCAGACCAGCTGCACGGCGCCCAGCACGGCCTGGCGCAGCGGCTGCGGCAAGCCGGGCCGCGCGGCCGCCGCCTCGCTGGCCACGCGCAGCTCGCGGAACGTGTTGCGCGTGTACGGGTTGCGCCGCGACGCGTAGCGCCACGTCACGAAGTAGTAGTACACGAACGGCGTCAGCAGCCCGCAGTACCCGCTGCAAGCGAACGTGCTCGGGTCAGTGTCGCCTTAGGCCGTTTTTCGTGAAGACGGAGTACAATGGCTCGAAATATTTCGAACAATTCTTCATGGGAGCATGGTTTACATTTCGACAACTGTTTTATAGTAGTTTATGTGACTGTTACATAATGAAAGGTACTAACACACGAGTGTTTTATTGCCCAATTATGTACAGTTACATACACTGCTTTATCTACACACATATTATAAGCTCTCTGTGATGTGTTCAGGAACCGCGTGTTACGACTAGCGAAATGGTGGCAAATAAAAACTTTTCTCACGCGTTTCACACAACCGTAGTTTTTATTTTTAATTCATAGACAAACCAGAATCGGCCCCAACTATCATATCGTTCGATATCAAGTAACGTGTGAAATTGTCAAAATTGTTTCCTATTGACATTTCATTTCGAATAAAACTTCATCTCGACTGATATTAGAATTGAGGTCCAATCAAATTGTTTTGTTTTTCAGAGATATTCGCAGTTTCAATGTAGTAGGGTCACATTCATTTAAATTGTACATGTAACTAAACAGAAACGAAACGGAAAGTAACGAAACGGAACATAAGGGCTTGGGCACAGTTGACGAATTAAACTAACTTATTTTAATAAAAAATAACCGATTATATTCTTTCCCTTTCACTCCACGACGACGTGGCGTATATATATAATAATCATTGATAGTATAAGTCCACATAATGTAAGACATAAAAACAAATAATAATATTTAGTGAGTCTTTATTCACAATATAAGCTGATTCAATATACTTTTTTTTCTAGGCATAATAGAAAAGTTGTCAAGGTTTTTATTTTCAGCCGATAATTTTGTTGCCTCAGCCTTCGTTCGTTTATGTCAAAATCAGAATACATTTTTTTAAGCTTTTTGTTTTCCAGCACTAGTTGAATATATGCAGTTTTTCCATTTAAATTTATTATCTCTTGTAGGCTTACATTATTTTTACTTCTTTTTCGTAACTCCATTTTTGTCTTAAATTTTTCTC